GGCGCATAGCGCGCTCGACGCGACGGCCTCAGCCGCCTCACGACCCCGCCTAGCGCAACTTGCTATACGTTCTCTTTAATATTTTTTAATCGAGAGTTAAAGCAATGACACCTTACATTACTCATGTATAGTTATGTTTAGATATATTTAGGTGTAAGGTTGTAAGGTATCATCTGCTAAAAACAGAAATAAAATAAAGGTTTGTGTCGCGCGAAAGATGCGTGGTCAGCGGTGTCAGGAGAGTCATCTGTAGGGTTTCATATGCTTCAACAATAAGTTCAAAAATTGTAAAAAAAATGTGATTGTTTACGATTGTGTGTGATTGTCTTTGATTGTGACATATTTTGGAAAATTGTGTCACATTGTGACTTGATTGAGTCATGATTGTCTCTGATTATGTAATTTAAATTTAATGTTCTGCTAGAAATAAACAATTATGTATATATTTTTGCAAAATTCATGATGTGGGTATTTTTCCATAGTGCCCTTCAAATAAAAAGCATACAGCAAACCCGTTCCGGTTGCTCGGCTTCACACCTATCTCCAGGGCGGTCCCCGCGAGCAGGGCCGTGGAGGAGGGGGCGTGTCCGGACCCCATTCCGTTAATATAGACACACTCGAAGAGTGCCCAACTGTGGTAATCAGGTGAACACAGACTTGGTTATCACTGGTAATCACTGGTAATCCCTGGTAATCATCGCACTCGTGAGGGTCCTTTAAAAGGAGAAATTTGTTGATTTAGACATGAATTTTTGTGCACATCTTGCCTAAATGCCAACGCGCATGTTTAATACGGCAACTTTGCATCCCTCCCATGGACAAAATCATGATTTGGCAAATTTGCAAATTTGTAACTTGCAGAATAAAGAATCAAGATCTACCAAAGAGTTGCACAAAAATGCATCTTTCTCGGAACAAAAAATGGCCGTTTCGGTTTAGAATGCAGGTGGATCATACCTAGTATACAAAGGTAATCTTTGGTAATCATTGGTAATCTTTACAATTTGGTAATCCGGTGTACACATTTTTATGGAGTTAGGCCCCGTGGGGGAGGGGGCGTGTCCCCTCCCGTTAATAGACACACTACTACCGACCGGCAATCAGAAGGGGGAGGTTCCTCGCGTCTAATTGAATCGCCCTCCTCCAAACACGACGCTCCTCATCGTGGGTATGTAACAGCGATTATTGAGGGGAGGGTAGGGGGGGGGGCAGACGACAGCGGGATCTCCCGAAAAGGAAGCCGCTGGCCGCGACGG